GGATTTAAATCCCCGCTTCATTTGCAATTGCGCTGTGTCTAATTTGCATCCCTTTTACGGAAAAGGGATGCAGTCTAGACACAGCCATAGGCTACATCTACACTGCATGATCTTGTGCAAGAACTCCTTTGCAGAAGAGTTCTTGTGCAAAAACTCTTCCAGAAGAGAGCGTCTACACTGGCATGTGCGTTTGCGCAAGAGCATCCATGCCGGTGTAGACGCTCTCTTGCGCAAGAAAGCTCTGATGGCCATTTTAACTATTGGGCTTTCTTGCGCAAGAAATTCATGTTGCCTGTCTACACTGGCCTCTTGCGCAAGAACAGTTGCTCCTGAGCAGCAGCATTGGAGTTCTTGCGCAAGAAGCACTGATTTAGAACATCAGTGCACTTGCACAAGAACTCGCGGCCAGTGTAGACAGGCAGCAAGTTTTCGCGCAAAAGTGGTCACTTTTGCACAAGATCGCGCCAATGTAGACACAGCCAAATATTTTATCTTAACCCATATCACCTTTACATAAACACTTTGTTCAAACCATGGAATATGCCAACCTCTTCATTGGCTATCTTAAGGAACAATATCTGGACAATTGCACCATGAAACCAAGGATATCCCTGAGATGCATCAATGATATTTTCATCCACTGGACAGATGACCAAAATGCCTCAAATATCCACCACAAATTCAACTACCACCAGCTGTCTTATTAAACTCTCTCTCTAACGGTCCTACACCCACACCAACTTCTTAGACACCACAATCAGCTGCAACAGGTAGACTGCTACAGACAACGATATACAAGAAATCCAACACATCACTACGCTTACTTTCAAACATTGAGTAACCGCTCCAAACACACCAAGAAATCTGTTATCTACAGCCAGGCCCATAGATCATAGAATCATAGAATAATAGGACTGGAAGGGACCTCAAGAGGTCATCGAGTCCAGCCCCCTGCCCTCAAGGCAGGACCAAGCTCCACCTACACCATCCCTGACAGATGTCTATCTAACCTGTTCTTAAATATCTCCAGAGAGGGAGATTCCACCACCTCCCTTGGCAATTTATTCCAATATTTGACCACCCTGACAGTTAGGAATTTTTTCCTAATGTCCAATCTAAACCTCCCCTGCTGCACTTTAAGCCCATTACTCCTTGTCCTGTCCTCAGAAACCAAGAGGAACAAATTTTCTCCTTCCTCCTTGTGATACCACAAAACATACTCCAAGAAAGGCACAGACACACTTAAAACTGCATTCACCAAACAAAGACACTCCACCCGAGAAGCAGATTGCATTATGAAATGGGCTACCCAAATACCCTGAGGCTACAACTACACTGCAGGCTTCTTGTGCAAGAACCATTTTGCACAAGAGTTCTTGTGCAAAAGGTCTTCCACAAGAGTGCATCCACACTGCCATGTGCTTTTGTGGAAGAGATGTGCTTTTGCGCAAGAGTGTCCATGGCAGTGTGGATGCTCTCTTGCACAAGAAAGCTCTGATAGCCATTTTAGCCATAGGGCTTTCTTGCGCAAGAAACCCCTGTTGCCTGTCTACACTGCCTTCCTGTGGAAGAGCTCTTGCGCAAGAGGGCTTATTTGTTGTGGGAAGAGGAATAACTCTTGTGCAAGAAGCCCTGTTTTCCGATGCTTTACTGTAAATTTACTTGCACAAGAACGTGTGTCCAGTGTAGACGCTCTGCAAGTTTTTGCGCAAGAACAGCTGTTCTTGTGCAAAGCCTGCAATGCAGATATAACCTGAAAGAATCTGCTTCAATATGGAAATAAAACCCCCTCTGACCGCATATTCCTAATTGTCACCTGCTACACCACACTGGAAACCATGTAGAACACAATTACAAGCACACACAAGAAATACTACATCCTCAAAGAAATCTGCGAAGCCTCCCTCTTCTTGTCTTCAAATAACCGTCAATCTCATGAAGCTCATCAGAAGCAAGCTCCAGACCAAGACCTAGGAATTTAAAGTGGCACCATACCGTACTATAACACCACATGCAAAATCTGCAGACATATTTCCACTGCTCTGATGATCAATACACCCCACAACACACCTTTCAAGATCCATGGGCCTTACATATGGTCCATCTCATCCAATGCTTTATATTTTCCAACAGCAACTATATGAGTGAAACCAGATAATCCTTACATTCTCAAATGAAAGCACACAAAAATGATTAAAGACAAAAACACCATGATGACCTTTGGGTAAACATTTTTCACAAAATGATCTCTCTCTAAATGATCTCTAAATCTGACCTCTCAGTCCTCATCCTCAAAAGAAACCTGCCCAACACCTTTAAAAGACAAGCCTAGAAGCTTACATTTAAAACTTTGCTAAACATTAAAAATCAGGTTTTGTAAAGTCATAATTCCAATATTTTTATTATGAGAATCTGCAATCCACTAACCCCTTTTTTGTACTATGACTTCAGGGCATTAATGAGACACTTCACCTTGAATGATCCCTTAAGAATGTGAGGTAACTATTTATACTAAACAATCTGTTCCAGTTTGTAGTTAGTTGTGACACACTGAGTGCCTTTCCCAGACACAAAGAGGGGCTCTGTGTAGCACAAAAGCTCTTTTCTATCATCAACAGAAGTTGGTCCAATTAGGGATGTTAAATTTCAATTAATCAGATAATCGAGTAGAATTTCCATCGACTACTGGATTAGTCGACAGGGGGACGTGGAGCACTCGCTATCCAGGGTGCACCTCCAGGCTTTTAAATGTAGTAAGTACTCCCCACGGCTACATTTAAAAGGCAGAAGAGCAGCGGGGAACATGGGGCAAGTGTGTTCCAACTGCTGTGTTAGGATTGAAAGTTTTATTCTTTTTATATTTCTTATCTTAGGTTTAGTAATGTAAGGTAATATATAGAATCATATTTAATATAGTAGTAATGTAGCAGTAATATAGCAATATAAGGCATATTTATTAACATACATTTAATATTTTACAAATTAAGTCCTTTCAGTTGAAGATCTATTTTCTTTGTTCTGAAGTTTAGTAAATGTCCTAAAGTAGAAAAACAGTTCTGGGTATTGTGGCTGTGTTAATAAGATTAGAGGAATTCTGCTAATGTGCAAGGCCAAAACCTTAATTTCTTGATTTACAATTGCAGATCTGTAACCTCGAAACTCCTTGTAATATTGCTCGAGTGTGTGAAAGGAGTGTGAATGTGTCGAGATAAGATGCAAAGTTATATGACTTAGAACCAGATGGCCAAAGAAGGGGGTGAGCGAGTGTGGGTGAAGGCCAGAAGACGGGACGACCTAGCTGCAGAGAAGCCATCTATAACAATCGATGCGTACCCCCTACTCACAAGAGGATTGGCAGACTGATGAATCTGGAAGCGGAGTGGGCACCCCCAAAAGATGACTGATTACAGGATAAGCTTTGGAAGATGTTTGGGAACGACTGACATCAACAAGATAACATTTCAGTCACAAGCTGACAGAGCGGAATCCATGGATTTCAACAGAGAAAAGGATTATAAAAGCAAGGTGCTTTGCTACGTCTGCCACCGTCTTGAGAGAGTATCAGATCGATCGACTGACAAGGCCCTGCTCCTCCCTGTTCTCAATCTACCTGGCCACTAGATTGACACAGATTCTGGACTGGTAACTATATCATCTGGCAGAACTGTGTATTCATGATGTTTTGTGTGTATGTGTGTGTTTGAAAAGCATATGCAACTGTTGTATTCTCAATAAATGCAGCATACTGCCTTTTCCCCCATAAAAGATCTCGGCTGTGTCTACACTAGGAAGTTATTCCGGAAAATGCCAAACAGCTGTGCTTCAGCCTTTGAACGGTAGCAAGAGCCTTGCCGGGAGGGGGCGCGGGAGAGGGGGAAGGAGGAGGAGGCTCTTGCTACATTTCAAAAGCAGAAGCATAGCAGTTAGAACCTGGCGCAAATGGGGACTGCTTCAGTTCCCACTTGCGCCATTTCCCCACTGTGCCTCTGCCTCCCCTGCTTCCCTTGGAGATCGTGCTGGGGGCAACCAGCTCCTGTTCCCCCTCTTGCTGCCCTTCTCTGATAGACAGTGGGGGAGGGGGGGAGACACGACCAATCGAGTCACTACTTAACTGTCCGATGACTACACAATAAGCATAAGTGTAGTCCACTAGTTGCTTACATCCCTAGGTTCAATAAAAGGTATTATCTCACCCACTTTTTCTCTCCAATATCCTGGGACCAAAACAGCTTCAGTATCACAGAAAGACAGAAATAAGCGCCATCATACATGCTGCTCTGTGGTCCACAGTGCTCTAAAGTATGTGATTTTAATTGTACTTCCATGTAGCTGTCTTGTTTTGGGCAGGCCATGATATATATTAGACCCAGAGATTACTGGTATACTGCTATTTTAAATGATGTATATGAGATATCTCCAACCTTTTTAAGCACAAGATCACTTTTTTAATTTAGGGCAACCCAAGATTAAATACCCTTGTTTTGCCACCTTCCCTTTCCTCTTCCCTGCCCCACTTCTTGTCCAAGGTCCCTCCCGCTCACTCAATGGAAATGGGGTACAGGAGCAGGGGGACACCCTGACAGCACCCCCTCTTTTGCCTTCCCCACCCTGTATAACAAGCAGGAGGTTTCCAAGGCTCAGCTCCAAGGCTGAGGACAGAAACAACACAGCAGTGGTGCGTGGGGCAACTGAAATACCTGCATTTGATAGCCTCCTGGCCAAACCAGTCAGATTCACTTTTCTAAGGTTCCAGGATCTACCAGTAGATTCCAATCTACTGGTTGGTGACTAATGGTGTATACGTATTTGGACTATATGAAAGCAAGGGATCTCTGTACCAGTCCAAGCTGTTACATAGGACAGAGTAAGACCTATCAGATACAGGACATGGATCTGTGTTCATCATTGTATTGCCTTAATGTCATAATTCCCATCCTTTCAACACAAGTTATAAAAATCAACAAAGCACAATTATGCCCCCAAAACAAGAAAGCTGCATAGAAGTTCAAAAAAAAGGGGGGGAGGGGGAATTGTGCTTGCTTCAGAGTATATCTTACCAGGCAACTAGCATTCAGACCAGATAATCTGTTAAACTAGCTGCAGTCAAAACTATATGTTTCCAAGTGTTTATAATTTGCAAACAACTTGAAAACTGAAAATGTTGTTATATAAAACCAAATTTTGTAAAAAGCTATTTTAATATACCTAGTATTAATAAACTTAAGTGGCTTTTTTCTTAAAATAGGTTTTATAAGACAACACGTAAAAAGATTCAGTATACATCTCTTACAGCCAACAGAACACAGTGGCTTCCCTTCATTTTTCACTGCTGGGTTGCTTTACCATGTTTAATTACTACTGGTTGAACTTGTGACCTACTTTTGGAAAATACTGTAAGAGTTGTTGCTCAAGTTGTGCTGGTCAACAGTAATAACATAAGATTCAGTGTACAACTGAATAGGGTGACTATTGATTATTTTTGTTTACTCAGAATTTTGACTTTACTACATAGCTACCTAATAAAAATACATAAGAAAGATATAGTACATAAACAAACCGGTATGTTAAACAGAAAACTCTTTAAAAATCTAGGAGAGACTTTAGTGTTCAATGAATTTGTAATGTAAACATAATACTTTCACTTGAACACAAATATGCTAAGTAGCTGCCTAAAGTAATGTAAATACTTTTTCCTTGTGTGAGCATGTGTGGGGGAAGAAAAAGGAGAAACAACTGAAAAAAAGTGGCAAAGTAACTGAGATACAGAACCACAGCTAGAGCAAGATGAAGACGAGAAAAAAAAAAGTTTGCTCTGGAAGACAATACAAGGAAGCAGTTATCATTAATAAGTTACAAAACACAAATATTCTAAATGTAACATCTATCTTGAAATAGGGATGTTGGCATATAGTAGAATAAACAATTAACCGATAAACCTTGGATTACTGGTTAATCCTATTGACTACACACATCTGTATCAGAAGCAGCAACGGGGAGAGGAAGTCGAGCACCCAATCCTGTAGAGCCACATGCCCCTGCACCCCTAGTGTTGCTGCCTCTTAGAGGCAGCAGCACGGAGGGTGAGGGGGGGCAGGCAGGAAATGGTACTCAGGGGGAGCCAGCTTGCTGCCTCCTACAGAAGCGGGATGGAGGTGGCTTAAAAGTTGGCTCTCCCCAAGCACTGGCTTTGCAGAGCCGGCTCTCCCTTTCCCCACTCCCCCTGCTGTGCTGGTGCCTCTGTACAAGTGCCGGGAGTGGAGGGCAGGTGGGATGCTAGTGCAGCTCCTGTCTGCAAGGAGCTACCACAAGGACCTTTGAAATACCTTTGGGGCTGAGGTGAGTCCGAAGGGAAGGTGTGACGTAGTGGGGGCTGCGTTCACTCTTGTAGCCATGGTGTCCACTCTGTTGTTGCATTTGCTGTTTGCTTTGTTGGGCTGTGTATGATTCCTACAGTCCTATACTGCTCAGTAGTGACTGTATGTGTGTGGGATGGGATCTCTAGATGCAAGTTCCTGAGGGGAGGCACGCAGGGAATGGCCCAAGCCAGCCTGACACCTGAGCTAGATGGAGGATTCAGTCAGGTGACACTTTGCCTAGGAATCTGAACAGAGGAGGAGGTGTAGAATCCTGGAGAGCTGTGAGCAGTTGCTAGGTGTAAGAGTAAGTTTTCAGCTGGCTTAGGGAGAAAAGAGCCTAGCCGTCTTGGGGGCTGGAGTCCCCTATTCCCAAGAAGGATTGTACTAAATGCCCCTGGTTCCTGTAAGAAGAAATCTGAGCTATGCTGTATTCCTGTGAACCAATAAACCTGTTCTACCTGCTGGCTGAGAGTCACATCGGACTGTGGATAGGGGTGCGAGACTTGGTGACTCCCACACATACCGTGACAGAAGGACATGGTATTGGTAGTGATGGTCTTTTGAGGCGAACCTGAGAAACTTCCTGCGTGATGGGTGAATTGTAATATGAAAGTAGGCTTCTTGTAGGTCAAGGGACGACATCCAGTTTACTTTTTCCAAAAATGGGATTATTTTTGCCAGTGTTACCAAGGTGAAGTGTTGTTTTTTTAGGCATTTGTTCAGTCTGTGCAAGTCCAAGATGGGTCTCCAACCTCCTGACTTTTTTGGAGTCAAGAAGTATCAGGAATAAAACCCCTTTCCTCTGTGGAGAGGTGGCACTGGTTCTATTGCTCTCATAGTAGGAGAGTCTCATGAGAGGGGTCCCTGAAGAGGGATGGGGAAGGGGATTGTGTTGGAGGGAAGGAGCAGAAAGGGATGTTATAACCAGGGCTGGCCTTACCATGAGGAGACCGCCTCAGGTGCCAGACTGGGGGCGGGGGGAGCGCCGCTAGGACCCAGAGAATTTAGACCTTTCAAAGTTTTGGCACAAGCGAGATGGTATGGGGGCTCTTAATACATTTAAAAAGCAGAAGCACAGCAGGGTTAGCTCCTGGGGCCAGGAGCCAAACCTGCTGCAGCTCCACCGCTTATCAGCTAATAACTATTTTATGGAAATTCCATTGACTAGTCAGTTAGTTGATTAAACTAAGTTTAACATCCCTAATGAATACTCAGTTTTAATTTTGCTTCCACTCCACTTGTGTCCATCCTGTACCCTGAATGAGGCAGGGTAATAAGGGAAAAAATATTGTATGGATCATGCAATTAAAGACTATATCATAATACATATGAACAAGATCAAACCTAGTGTCTTCTTTGGCTATTAATTACCTGAAGTGGTCCTAGGATAGAGCTGGTTGTATACATGAAGAACAGTCGAAGGTAACTAAGAACATTAGCAAAAGCAAAGAGACCTTCTGCCACCAGTGTAGGATGGAATGCGTCCCAGTCTTTTCTATCAGCAAAATCATGGAACTAGAGTTTCAAAAGAAAGAGTTGAAGTTACTTACATCATATATATAGTAGCCCAATGTCTGTGACTCTGTAATGCTGAAATGCTGGCTGTTCCCTCTGGGCAGCGCTGTTGCCTCCCGCTGTGGTGCTTGGCTGACTTCTGTGCCGCTCAATCGGGCCGCTGCACAGGAGCAAGCAGCACAAGCAGCTGTTTGGGGTCCACGCTTCCCATGCAGCACGGAAATGCTGCATGGGGAGCACGGGGCCCAAACTGTCGCTTGCACTACTTGCTTCTGCGCGGCCGCCCAGCTGAGCAGCGCAGAAGTCAGCAGAGCGCCACGGCAGGAGGTGAAGAGGGGCGGGGCGGTGACATACATGCCCAGAGGGCAGGGCCTGGACGAGCATGCATCCCCGACGGAGACAGAGGAGAGCGGAGAGAGAGTGAGAGGCAGGAGGGGGAGAAGAGAAAAAGAGAGATGGAGCAGAGAGAGCGAGAGGCAGGAGGAGGAGAAGAGAAAGGGAGAATGAGAGGCAGGAGTAGGAGAAGAGAAAGAGAGAGACGGAGAGAGAGGCAGATGGTGGAGGAGAGCTGAGAGCGGGGGGGGGGGGGGGGAGGCAGTAGGAGAAGAGAGAGAGAGAAAAAGAGACACCGAGTGAGAGATCGGAGGCTCAGGAGAGAAGACTGACATGGAGGAGAGACCTGAAAATTCTGTCTGACAGGCTAATTGGCTAGTTATATATAAAAATCACAAGTGTAGGTATTGACAATAAATTGCTTTCAGGTAGTGTACCCTATGAAGCTAAAACACCACTTTATACAGATAGAAGCCAAAGTGGTGGATAAAGTACTTAACTGGAAGTGAGGTGACTTAAGTTCAAACCAAGGCTCTGTCACTCAACTATACTGTGTGAGCCTAAGCAAGTCACTTCTCCTCCGGGTGTCTGTTTTCCTTTCTATGCTCTCTCTTTGGTAATCTCTTTGAAACAGGGACTTTTGCTATGTGCGTGATCAGCACCTATCACACAGGGCCCCGATTCAGGTACTACTGTTAAATAAATAATAATTAGTAAAAAAAAAATATTGTAAAACACAGAACAAATTGCATTAAACCTTAAATTGCATTAACCCAATTTGCATTGCATTAACTTGGGGGGGAGAAGCTGGGGGAAGTGTTTCCTCTAAGATTTTCCTCCCATGAGCAGAATGAGATTTGTCTTGTGCACCAGTATTGAGTTCATGTGCACTTATTTGGATGTGCCCCACTGTGGCACTCAAATTATTAATAAATATCTTCTTAACCTCTTCCTTTTCCCTTGGTTGCCATATCTCCTTCCCTCCCTTTGCCCCAACTGTTCTTCTGATGCCTGCTGCCCCCTACCTCTCAACCTCTTCTGCTGTCCTGGCTTCTGCTTTTCTCACTTCCCTCAGCCCTTTGGGGACCTGTTCCCCTCCCCTGCACCAGCCCTTCTCTTCCCCCTGTGGCCACTTCTCTTCTAGCCCCTGATCATCTGTAGCTACCCTCTCCTAACACCTCCCTCTACATCGTGCTTCTCTTCTCTGGTACCCATCCCTCCCCACCTCTTGTCTGCCCTTTTCTTCATTCCCACAATCCCCTGGCACCTGCACCTTCCTGGTGCCTCCCCGCTGCTCTCCTTGCGCTCTTTCTCCCATCCCCTCACCAACCTGTGTCCCAGTTCTCCTCACGCTCCTCTTTGCCCTCACACGTGACTTGCTCCACGCCCTGTTTTCCTTATGCCCCACCCCTCCTTCCAACCCCTATTCTCCCAACACGCACTTCTCCTTTCTCCTCTCCCCATTGTTCCTCCCCTTTCCTCTCCCTGTATCACCCTGTCCCCTCCCTTCTTCCACCCCCACTGACACCTTTCCTCCTGTCCTCCCTCCCACCCTTTCCCCTCATTGTCTCCTCTTGGCCCTCTGGCATTTGTCTCTCCTCCACCCTGCCCCTTGATGCCTTCCACTTTCTTCTCCTGCCCTGTCTCCCTTTCCCCCCAGATCTTCCCTTTAGTTCTTCCTCTGCCCCACCCCACCTTCTGCCTTCCATGTGGAAAGTAGTTTATGGGGCTGGAGCCAGGCTGGGGTGCTATTTTTAGTACCGCGGTCCAGCCCCAGAAGCCCCAGCTGCTCCTGGGGTGGGACTGCATGCTAGGACTGGAGTGGAGGCTGCCTGTGGTGCTATGTTTAGTACTGCGGTCCTGGTCCTCGCAGGCTACCTGGCTCCAGCTGGAGTCAAGCAGCAGCCTCACAAGGCGCACTCCAGTGAGGCTGCGCTGGCCAGCTGCAGCCAGGCAGCCTGCGGGGACCTGGATCACAATACTGAAAATAATACCGCTAGTGGCCTCCACTCCAATCCCAGCATGTGCGGAGCCTGAGCAAGTCTCATCTCGCAGTGCCCCAGATGGGCTCTGTGAGACTCCTGCCGGGGCTCCAAGGTGACCTGGAGAAGGTGAAGGAGGAGGAGGTGGTGCCACCGGACCAGGACCCCGCATGGCAGAGGCAGTCCCTTGGGGGGAGGTTGGGAAGGGGGGAGAGAGAGGGGGCACACACCATTGGAAGCTGGCCCCCTTTCTGCTTAAAAGGACACTCTCTCAATGACTTAACCACCTGCATTCTGCTACAAAGATCTTTTACATCTGCACTTGAAAGGGAATCCTCTGAACTGTCATTCATGTTAAAATTCGACACTCTCCGAGAAGGAATGAACAAATACTCAAACTATCTTACCCATTACCAAGATAGCTTCCCCAATTATCACCTCTACTACCATTAGCTCACAGACATCCCACTCTCCCCACCTCTAATATCAATTCACAGACACTTACCTTCCTTCCTCCCCCCCCCCCCCCCCCCCCCCCGCATCCCCCTCCTGTTCTGAAATGTGATTTGTCCTTTTCATATGTGTTCATTTTTTTTAATTGTATCCTTTGGTATATATGGTTGTGACAATTTTCTTCCACTATTTGATCTGAGGAAGTGGGTCTGGCCCACGAAAGCTCATCGACTAACAAGATGGTTTATTAGATTTTAAAGTGCTACATTGTCCTGCATTTTGCTACAGTTAATACTGACATTCAGTACCGTCATTGGGAATTAGATGATACATCCCCATATAACAGAAGGGTTGAAAAGACAGGTAGATCTGTATGGACTAGATGTTTATAGAGGAGCATCCATGTTAAAAAGCCTCCCATAATTATCAGAGTAAAATATCAGAGGATAAGGTTTCAGAAAAAAATTCTATATTTAATAAAAAACGATCCTCATATTTCTTCTTAGAGGACCTCTCTCTGAATTCCTGAGCTCTTACTTCTTTTTCCAACTCCTCAAGAAGGGCAGATGTTTGTGACTATAATTTCATATACCAATAAGAATTGCCTGTTTATTGTTTCATCATCATCATCATCATCATCATAAGATGAAGGCACCAAGTATTATCAAGCCTGACAATCTGGTAAACTTTTATTCCCCAGTAGGGACTGAGGAAGGTGTTCATCATGTTTTATTTTCATCATTCAATTAGTGGTTCCTACCTTATCCTTCTCATAATCCATTCCTGCAATGAGTACAGAATTCATTTTCTAATGGTCTTAGTGTGCTCATCACCAAGTGCTTTACCAGCATTTTAAGGGGATGCACAACTGGCTGAAAAACCAGAGTAGTTATCAGAATTATCAGTAGTTCACAAACTGGAAGAGCACAACAAGTAGGGTCCAAGAGAAATCTGTTTTGGTCCCAAATATATTCAATATCTTCATAAATTATTTGGAAAATAGCATATAGTACATTTATAAAGTCTGTATATGGTACTGTGATAGGAGAGGTGGCAAGAACTATTCCCAGAGGTCCTGAGCATTCACAGCTCTGATTCACTTCAGTTTCAATTATGAATGTTCAGCACTTCTACAGGTTAGGCTGCAGTGATTTCAAGTTGGACACACACAAAACGAGGAACCCAGCATAGAGGCCACCTGTCAGAAATTTGGTTTAAGTATTAGCTGAACACCACATAAGGTTGTAGCAGAGAAAAGCACAGAAGTCAGCTTTCTCAGATGACATTCACCATTAAGTCAAGACAAGCCTTCTCCTCGTGCAGTCTGTTGTCTTATCCCTAACATGGATACAAATGTCTACGTCATAGATGTAGATATCTGTGGACAGACATTAGTATCCACTGATCTGCACATCTCTCCTCCCAAGAGACACTGAACTCAATGGAGAAGAGAGTGCTTGTGGGAACCAGCACTCCACACTGACATAGTCACGTGGCTGTGCTATCGACAGCCTGCAGGGCTGTCCAACCTCAGACAGGAGACTCCGTGGGTGTTGGCTCCGAAGAACAATGGGACCACAGTCCTCTCCATTCGTGTCTCCTGAAAGTAGGACCCTGTAGATTAGCTGATACCGATGTCTACCTGTGGATATCCACATCAGCAAGCAGACATCTGTATTCACACAGGGCTCTATACATAAGTTACAAATACTTTAGACAACCTCAATGATTATACAGTTATGATTCACTCTCAAAACACCATCTATCCTGTACACTAAATGAGTTTGGGATGCCATGGAAAAAACAGTACATGATCATGTAACCAAAGTCTATTTCATAATGTGCTCACATGCAGGGCAGATTATGAAATTAAGGCTGAAATATCAACCTGCATTCTGGCATTTCCTAACATTTGAATGTTAGATTTTTCAATCTTAATGAGGGACCTGTTAAATATAATTGTTTGTAGTTTCATAATTTTTTTTAAAAGGAAAGAGTAAAAACAAATGCTGTCACGTGCCACGAAGCAAAGTATTAAATCTCATTACTTGGGGATGAACCCTGAATTAACATTATAGCACATCTTGAGCTACAAGATAACTAAAGTATCTGGCAGTAGCAGAAGGCTGTTCTCCATCAGAGAAATGACCATTAAAGCTATTTGCTTGACCTGGGCAAACAATCAGGGATAGCCTGGCACATACTGCCTTCCCTGCAGGAAATACAAGTCTTCTTCCCAACTCCACAAGATTCCTCACAGGGAGGGGAAATTAACCATTTGTTAGATTCAGAGATGCCTGACTAGGTTCTCTCCCTTCCCATCTGCCCAAGTAGAGATCTGCACAGTGTCTGCTGCTGCATTAGCCCAGATTTTGAAACTATTACTGTTCAGGTATTTCGACCAGCTGCTACAAATTTGCTGATTATGTAACCAACAAAAAAGAAATGGTGATAATCAAAGGTTATACACCTTAGCCAACAGAATTTCATGGAGAAAAGAAAATGTACTTTTCTGGTCCGTGCATAAGTTCACATTCTATTGCTAAAGTTTAAGCAAATGCAACAAAACATCTTTAGATCTACGAAAACAATTTAAAAACAGAAGCTGTTGCTAGCTCCTCACATCCTTATGTTCTGCATCAGTGTTAACTACGTACACTGAAATGAGACTAGAGCCTTAAGTATTTAGGACAGCAGAGTTACTTTTCCTAAGTCCTTATCAGAGTAACAAACAACCAACCAACCAACCTCCCTCCCCTTGCCATGTTTCCACCAAGCAGCCTCATATAGGCTTGAGATCTGAGTCATGGATATTCACCTTGTTATGAGCAACTACTTTGAGAGCAAAGGTTGCCAAATAGAGGGAATTCATGACAAAACTAAGCTGATTACGAGATTCTTCTAAAAAGTCTTCTAGGCCATCATACCAAAGTCTTTTGACATCTGACCACACCATTCCTGGTGGAAAGAAAAAGAAAACAAGATGTCACTGCATTATTCTTCACTGGCTTTCTACTAGTTGTAAGTGTTCTCCATTTGGGTGTTTTGTTTTGCTTTGCTTTTTAACTAAAATAAGGGCACCCTATTTCTTTTCAACATGAGAAGAATTAGCAGGGGAATTTTGTACATCTCTCTGAATAGTACTGAGTATGGCCATAAAATACAACAGTGGAATAATGATAAAGTAATTATAAATGTTTATCTTCTACAAGTCTTTTATTGGACAAATACAATTAATTTTAATAATAGTGCGAAGAGGAGTGTCTGGTTTAAGAAAAAAATCCAACGCCTCCTTTACATTTGCCTTTTTTTAAAAAGTCAACTTTATTTCAGAAAACTTGGTACCTCATCATATTTTGGTAGAGACAGATTTTTGTGAACATATTTTTGTGACCCAAGAAAAAACAGCTTAAAACTAAACTTAACAGGAAACAAGGATTTTGGTTTTACCTTGCAAAATGTATTGGTTTAGCTTAAGACAATATACATTTATAAAGTGAGCTAGAGTCTTCAACTTTTTTCTCTTGCTCAATCAGACTTCAATTAAATTCTACCATTATTAACTACTTCACACTGATTTATACAAATTCATGTGACTGAATGTTAAAATCACAAACCACCATTTCATAATTTCAAAAGCTCTTTTGTAAAAATTCAGCTGCAAATTTAAGATCCACAAACAGTTATTTAATGTTATTCTGATTATTTGGAAACTTCAGATGTTTACTACCATATTAAAAATTAGGAGAAAAGTACCATTTATATTACTGGCAGGTAAAAACTGTTCAACTTGGCACAGGTTTTTGCAAGATTTCTAAAACTTTGTTCCATCAAAAGCAAAGGCCAGTCAGTTAAATAACCTAAAATACTTTTTGAAGAACATCTTTGTTGTTCAGTAAGCAATATTCTGCAGTAAAGATTACAGTGAAGCAGAATAGAAATCACAAACTGCCAGTTAGAAGTAAAAGGCAGAAGGCCTATTCTTCCTGGTTATGAGTACTAGCTGGAGAATGTTTTGTCTGTACACTGCAAAAATTGTTTAATGTGTAACTAAAATTGATGTAGTTAACAAAATAAGTTAAACTGTGTTAAACAGTAGTATAGGAAGTCCTAAAATATTGCATCATTTATCTAGAAGTATAAGATTTTGTTGCTTTTTCACGTTGATTATTTTGGGAAGGAGCGCTAATAGCACTGAAGATACTGAAAAGTTAACCTAGTATACAAAAGCTGCTTTTAACTTCAAATTTCAGAGTCAAAACAGAATTTTTGATATAATCCCACAGTACTGGCTCAATAAAGAGTGCACTAATGCACCGAACTGCAACAAGATAAAGTTAATGATTTGTTTAAATAACATACTTCCTCTCCTCCAAGTTCATTTTAGTACTTCTAAAATATATTTCATTGTATTCCAAGTTACATTTATTGTGTATGCATATAACTCAACAACAAATGTAAAATAACCCATTTCTATACATTTTAGATTTTAAATTTAAAATACTAGATTTATTGATCTAATCTAAGATCAAAAAATGTGTTGCCGTGGGCATTAATAATGTGTCTGAGTTAAAAATCACTATTTCAATCTCATCTCAAATGCGGAGATCTGAACAACAAAACCAACTCCCTTCACTCGTTTCAATACAGGTTAGTTGCCTAGGTACTTTTGAAAATCTTCCTAAGTACAGGGAAACCTTTGTTATCCGGCACTCTGTTAACCAGAAAACTTTGTTATCCGGCATTGCCCCCAGCCACAATACTGTCACATCTTTAACTCAAAATAGAACGTGAGACCCACTTCCTCACACTACAAAACTACCAATATTAAAAACTTGTATTTTACTATTATTGTCCATTGGGTTTTCCTAGGTTGATGGGACCCTCAGATGACCCTCAGATAACTGGAACACCCTAATCCCTGAGAGTGCCGGATAACACAAGTTTTACTGTACCTTCCTGAACCTTCAGGTAACTAAATGCCTTCAAAAATCTGGCCCTAGTTGACCAAGCAATCTAAGTCCAATTTTCAACATTGAATGCAAAGTCTTGGTCACTTAAGAGTTTTACCCTTGTCTTTAATGTTCATTTAACTGGAGTTCTTGCTTAACTGTACCCATTAACTTACCCCACGCTTTGTCCAAACACAAAATCTCCTCAAATGTGTGTTGCTCATAGAACTATTTATGGAGCATGCTACATATCTTTAGTTATACTGCAGGCTGGTTTAAGTTTGCTAGATCTATTATGTTTCCTTAAAGACATCTTTCCAGCTGCAGATTATATAATCACTCCTACTCTTACTAGAAATTTGTCTTTATTTCACAATGTATCCATTTTGCACTTCATTTCAGCTAAAATGTATTATAAATAATGACATCAAATTCAGGTTATTTTAAAAACTCATTATTTTCTTTAATACATAGCCCAGCACATTACTGCTATACTTTCTAAGTGAAAGCCACTGTAGTTTAGCTTTATATAATATAATCAATTATGTTTTATTATATTTTTCCACTTTTTCATTTATAACTGTGTGTTTATTAGGCTTCTAATATTGTTCTAATTTTTCAAAGGGATATTGCCTATTTACAATTTACTCAGTTTCAGGAAGTTTTAACAATAGTTTCAAGTCTTAAAGTGAAGAATAAGGAATTAAACTGCAAACAAACAGCGGGCCTGCTTCTTCTCACAGCTCCCACTGACCAGGAACAGAGAACTGCAGCCACAGGGAAATGGGGCTAGGAGAGTGTGGTACCTGCTAACAGTTAACATCAGCAAAATGTCTCATGGTCCACAATCAGATTACCCTCCACTGACCTATACCATCACCAAATCACAATATAATATTGCTTGCTGTTACTTTTGAATAAATACGGTTCAAAAAATACTTATGTACACTTTTTAGATTTCTAGAAATTACCCTGAAGAATATTTTTTCTTAATAGGAACAATCAGTTCAAGCACAAGCTGTGAACTTTGCAACACCTGTATTTTACAAATTTCTGGTCAAACAAATGAGGATACAGATTACATACATATAATTTACATATACCCAAAGTTCAGGACCTACTCTACACAAAAGCAGTATCTGTGCTCCCTCTGCTGGTTCTGCATGAACCACAAATATGCTTCTTTAGGATGTGCTGATATTACTAATGATACTGGTATATAAAAAGGAAATATACACAATGGAGACAAATTTAAAATACCATCAAAAACAAAAGAAAAAAAAGGGAAAAAAGTCAATGGTATTCATCTATCTGAATATTTTAGAAATGTGCATCTGTCTATCTTTCCGTCTGAGTCTGTTTGTTCAAGAACTCCTAAATGGTAGAAGCTAGAACCACCAAATTCGGTATGCAGCCTCCACTCATCTTAACTTAAAGCAAGGTCAGAGTTTGGTTGTTCCAAGAAAACAGGAAGTGCAAGGAATGGGGCTGTTTTCCATAATATGGAAATCCTCTTGGCTTCAGAAACCCACATCTCATACAGTAACAAAATCATTTCAAAATAGAAAAGAAGATAGCATAAGAATTGATTGAGCTGAAATAATTACACATCTATTCCAAGAATCTGTAAATATTTCAACCCAGAGAAATGTTATCAATTTGCATGAAGCACATGAAAAGTTTTAACTGCGTGTGCTTTTCTAAGAAGCTTTGTATGATCTATTTAATTACATTTTCTCTATCTTTTGACATTTTTAGCTACCAATATAGAAATTTTAGCAAACGTTAACCTTATTATAACCTTGCCCCAAGTCACTAGAGAACCAAAATCACTTTAAAAATTCCAAATGAAAGATAAATTTTTGTAAAAAGAAAAGCTGGACTTAGTAGAAATTAAACAGCTGCTATGTAGTTGGCTGACAAAAAAGGGGGGCTCACAATGGCTCAACAGCTGACATAATTAACAAAACTACCTAATCATGAGTGTTAGAAAATTAAAATGACCTCTGAACTCAATTTGGATCAATGAAAAATCACTAACAATCTATTAGAGGGAGTAACTAACCATAGCATGTGTGTTCCTGATTACTTATTTTATGTCATTATTGAAAATACTCCTACAACTTAATGAGAGAACTATGTATTTTAACTATCATCTAAATTTCATTCTTGCCTGAGTCAGCACTCCACGAACCCTTCCAAAACATATTCTATGTCCCTCCCTCTGACAGGAAGCTCTATATAGTGTTACTTTCTTTGACTACTAAGTCCAGCTGCCAAGGACTGATTGGAATTCTGATTTCCTACAGAGTAACACATAACATTATTGCTGGACCAATGAAATGGCCAATGTCAGAAACTTTTGCCTAATTTTTTATCCATCTGATACTTACCAATAAGCCATATTATCAGAAGATAGTCTATTCTCTCAAGTGCTGGCCCCATTGTATTCTTCTTATCCTCATTGTAGACCAATGAATACAAATTAAGTAACAGCAAAAATGTGAAATATGAAGCTCCATGAATAATAAACTTCATAAAAGGAGTGTGAATTATTCGACCTACTCGAGATTTAGGGGCTAATAAGTAACAGAATGACAGAACTGGCCAAAAGATGCCAACTGTCAAAACAGTCAAAATCTTCTTACACGTGTGCTTGCGTCGGTAACCCGCCATCTGTCCAAACCACACAGTATTGAGAAACTGCTGGCAGTTAGACTGGGCAACAAACTAAGGGAGAAAAAAACAAAAACCCAAGAAGTCAGGTGTCCTGATTACCCTGATTAAGGTAACCATTATTAAAATTTATATTCAAGGCATTAATAAGTCATTTATAGATCATACTGTATTATTCATTTTCTGCTAAGCAAATAGAAATAATTTTGAAATAATTTTAAAAGTTACTTTTTAAAATATTAATATGGAGAAAAAAATAGTAGTAAGATAATCACAAATATGAATTTCTTCCACCTCTTTTCTCACAAGATTAGAACATGAATTCTGCAACCTTAGTCTTTTTACGTTTATCAAGAAGGGATCTCTTGAGAGACAAGGATAACAGCAAATCATTCTTAATCTTAACTGGTTTTTTTTAATCATTTATAAAAAAAACTGTTACGCAGACCTAAATGCCATTCTCTGAAATTTGCTGCTTCTTATGGGACTGATTCTGTGAGATACTATATGCCCCTCAAATTCACTAACACCACTGTATAATGCACTATATTGGCTTTACCCTTAAACAGGAACTAAGGACACTCAATGCCCTACAGACTCCGGGCTGAAATGGCCAAGTATTCACATACCAGTCAGATCTTATTTTAAAATTGTATGGCTATTTTAGTGAAGCACTTTGGCTGCCATTTCACCTTTAATCAGGGCCCACAAAAAGAGGAACCTTCAGTCTGAAGGATGTAGATCGACAGATTTAAACTAAGATTCTGTTAGAAAAGTTCAAGAAACACTTGTCATTTGCATTCCCACATTCACTGAGGACACATAAATTTATGAAAAATGGGGCTCCTGGCCCCCGCAGTGAGCTAGCGCCCCATAGCTCCTGGCAGCTGTGGGAAACTCGCCATTTGCCTGTGGTCTGTAATCAGGGCTCTCTCCAAGGTGTGCACCTATGTGGTTTCGCACCAAAAATTTGTCGCCTGCCCACCTCCTCAGAGCTGCGAAGTGGCTGTTCAGCTGTTCCAGGGTGGGGCTATGTGTCGGGTGGCTGTCCTGCTCCAGGAGCAGCAGGGCAGCCACCACACGGCTCTAGCTTCCGCCCTTCCCCAAAGCGAGTGGCTGCTCCTCCAGCAGCCCTGGTCGGGATCAGAGCCCTGTTGAGGGCATGGTGGGCAGCAGTTGCTCTGGTGGCCCTGACTGGGGTGGGAGTTGATCCTTTCAGGCTAGAGCATGTCTACCTGTGGCATGCCAGGCCCCACAGAGCTGGAGCAGCCCATCCATTTACCGTAATAGTAAGCATCACCCAATAAGGGTGATGTTAACCATTCATATACCTATTTTGAACAGGAGTTTAATAGTTGGGCATTATTGTTTTATATTGATTTTGTGTGTGTTTGTGAACCCACTATGTAGGTTTTAAGCTGATGGCCTTTTTTGAACTTTTAAAAGATTTTAAGTAAAAAATATTTTTTTTTGTATTTTATAAGAATACCTAGAATTATTTTTAAATTTTTATTTTAATTATAATTTTTATTGTTTAGTTGCTTTATTATTGACAAAGGGATTTAAGGTGTTTATTTTGGGTTTCTTTTTTATTTTCACCTATTTTATGTTTAATATTAATCACTTAAAAGAAAAAAGTTAAATTTTGTGAAAGCATCAGGGTATTTGAAGAGTTAACTAAAAGTTAAGGCTGTCAATAGATGCTCACTGCCAGTTAAATAGTAGCTGTCAGTTTTGAAACCTTGAATAAAATATTTTAATGGATTTTTAGTGGAATTTTTAAAAAGCTGATTATATATATAAGTATTTTTTTGAAAATTTGAGGTCCCTTGCTATGTTTATTATGAGAGACTAAATATTTTAAACTTTCTTGGCTTGTGTTTTACTAGCTGAAGTTTTTAACTTTTTTGTTTTTAAAATGATTTTAGACTTTTAAAGAGCTTAGGGGGGGCATGTGTGTAAACTGCAAGTTATGAACAAATGACTCTTTAAGCTGCTTACATTTCTAAACGGCTATTCTTTTTTATATTTAAGCTTTTACCAAAGTTTCCCCGCCCCCAGCTGAGATCTATTTTGGCCTGGGCTTTGATAACTGCTATATTTTACCAATATTTAGTTCCTTCTTTTTCTTCTATGTTTCAACTATCTGATCTTAACTAATTTTTTTTATAGCTAAACAATTTAAATGGGATTGTTCTTGTACCTGCTGCAACCATCACAATTCATTATTCATCGTAACAATTCAGACTCATTTGTTAGGAAGCACCTATTTCCTTCAGAATGACTGTAAGGCCTTCCATGTTGTGTGTGGTGACAAATCAGGTAATACAGGGGAGGTCAATAAGCAGTTTGAGAGACAAAGACAATACATTGACACTTAGGGTCAGCCATAATAATAAAGATGCATGGGTGAAAGTGATGATTTAACAGCTCTTTTTATTTTTTGTGACTGGGAAAGAATACTAAAACAGCCATAACATTTTTATATATAAGTAACTGGTGGGTGCAATGGTGGCACACATATGAACAAGCACACATGACAAAACTCAATCTGCTCCTGGTCAGAAAATTTTACATTGGCTGTAATACTTTGTAGACTAAATTAAACAATTAGACCAAATACTGGTGATGGCCTCTGATACATAGGAGATCGGATCAGATGATCTGGTGTCCCTTCCAGCCTTAAACTCTGACACTGTGGTTCCAAGCATGGTGAATTCACTTACTGGAGCTAATTTTGTAAACTATTAATTTTTTCTAACTTTGCTTATACGTACATTTTGATTACCACTGAGGGAAATAATGTTTCATCGAGTTTGTATGTATATAGTTAAATATATATTTACCCCCCCCCAAAAAAATCTAATACTTTGAAGGCTATTACAATTAATACATTTACCCAAAAAAAAAAAAATCGAATACTTTGAAGGCTATTACAATTAATAGAGAGATACATACCTCCTTTTGATTATATTTGATAGCAAGTTTTAGGCGACTCAAATTCATCCTCTCTTCTAACAATCCTCGTTTGTCCACATGCTCATCACTAGCTGTATGATTTAGGATAACTTCCAGCTCTCGTGAGTTCCGAGCCTGAGCAAGCAAATCTTTAGCAAAAGTTTTGCATTGTTGGGCTAGTTCCTCATAATCATTTCTAGAAAAACAGAGGCAGTAGATATTAGTGCATCTCTGACTCAGATTTTAATATACCCATTAAATAACTTAATTAATGGGGGAGGATGGAAATATATACAACTAGCAGGTGAGGCCCATCATTGACCTGGCAAAGTCATTTTTTTGCATAGATTACACTTATAGGAAAGTTTAAGAAATTAAATATACGTAATAAAATTTTTTATTAATGAGCTTGCACAGGGTAGCAGAAGAACAGTTTTAAATTTGTAGGATTTCAAGTTCAAACATTATTCATTTTATTGAATAACTACCATATGTAGTAAATGTGAATCAAACTTCTAAAGCTTCTATTATTCTTTCTGTAACTAATTTGGATTACTTTGTGATTTGTAACAGTCAAAATTTTCTTTGCATTAAAATGACAGTTGAAAAGGTGACTCAATTTTAATTCTGTTAGCAAATATTTATGAATTCTAATAATAATTATTTTTTTCTGATAAAAACAAAAATAATTATTTAAACCTTTTGCTTAACATATTCTGATGTAAAAAGTAGTACATTCAGCTAATTTAAGTGGCAAAATTATTTATGCAAAATTCGGTATCTGTAGGTATTCACAAAGTATGCCTTTATTTTGCATAAACAAATCCCCAAACAAGCTCTTCAAAATATATAATAAATTCATACAACTCAGTTAAGGCCCAACAGCAATTTCTCCTGGCCCCTGCTGTGCACAGGGCTGCTGTTGAGTGCCCTCCATGCAGCCAGGCTGGCTTCTGCTCCTGCCCCAAGATGCACAGGCAGCCAGGCAGGCTCCCGATTTCCTGCAGATCTGGAGCAGCCCTTCATCCATGGCAGGCCATAGGCAGGAGTCTGCTCCCAGGTACTGGTTACCCATTCTCATCTCTATTTAACCCAAATCATGCAGATTGTCAGTTTATAATATAGACTTAGTGCTATGGTATCAAGATTTGTTTGTTTATTTTTACACTGTAGTGCTCATACAGAGACAAGTGCCATCTAGTGTGTACATGAACCCCAATCCTTACTTGCAGAATCCCTCATTATGTTAGTCCTGGCAAGTTACAGAATATGTTTGAGATATGAATAAGCTAGGAGTTGTGTAGGCTAGGAACTAAGTGTTGTGATGTCCAATTAGTTTTTTGTATTAATTCAAATTTCAACCGAGATCTAGGGATGTGAACAGCCATTGACACTAAACACACTGAAATGTCTACCTCTAAAAAGGATTCAAATGATTAAGGCTATTCTACACTAGCACCATTGTATTGATCAACAGTATTGCTATAAGATCTTTCTTGAAACTGCTCTATGCTGACAGAAGAAGTCCATCCACTGATACAGAGCTATGCAAACTACCACTTATGTTGGCATAATGTATGTCACTCAGAGGTGATATATACACCTCTGAGCGACACAAATTTTGCCAACATAAATGGTAGTATAGACATGGCCTTAGCATGGCAAAGTGAAAAAGTTTGGACAGAATTCTCAACATAACTAGTTTTTAAAATGTATTTTATTATGAATCGGTCTTAATTCCCCACAATTATTCTCAATCTGATTTATTTAATAGCAGACTACATTGACAAACAAGATAGCCACAAAAACATGATCTGTGTGGAAAACAAGAGAGACATAAAAGTTTGTGTAGCACTTTAAAGACTAACAAGATGGTTTATTAGATGATGAGCTTTCGTGGGCCAGACCCACTTCCTCAGATCAAATAGTGGAAGAAAATTGTCACAACCATATATACCAAAGGATACAATTAAAAAAATGAACACATATGAAAAGGACAAATCAAATTTCAGAACAGAAGGGAGATGGAGGGAGGGAAGGGGGGAGGTAAATGTCTGTGAGCTATTAGAGGTGATAATTGGGGAAGCTATCTTTGTAATGGGCGAGATAGTCTTTGTTGAGACTCAAGCGTAGAGTGTCAAATTTTAGCATAAATGACAGTTCAGAGGATTCCCTTTCAAGTGCAGATTTTAAAGGCTTTTGAAGCAGGATGCAAGTGATTAAGTCGTTGAGACAGTGTCCTTTCTGGTTGAAATGGCAATAAACTGTTTTTTCTTTGTGATCCTGTCTAATATCTGTTTTG